CTATAAACCTAACGTATCTACCACTATACTCACCCAGCACTATAAACCTAACGTATCTACCACTATACTCACCCAGCATTATAAACCTAACGTATCTACCACTATACTCACCCAGCATTAAAAACGTTATCACAGCGAGGGCAGGTAAGGATGAGTCCGACGTTACAACTCTGCGCAGGTACATGAATAGAGGCACGGACAGCAGCAAACACCAGACCAGTTCCACGATCAACGTACTGTACTTTTTTGGCAGCTTTATTCTGTGACCTTCGAAATGGTCGTGTTCCTTAAAGTATTCGGTTACTTTATCCTGCAAGTACAAAACACCAGAACTTACTGTCGACTGAAATGTTCTAATATGAATGCACACCTGAGAATGTTGAACAGAACAGAACATAAAATAATGATAGAAGTGATTCACTTCAAAATAACCTGAAACTGCCACCTATTGAATAAAATTTTAAATAAATGCAACATCTGTAGTTATAGTGCTAACACATTATTGTATTAATAGTAGCTTTTACTGTGTGCACAAAACTGTGAATAAATGATAAGGGAGTATTAGAGAACAAGGGGGAGGGTGGGGAATGGAGGGGGAGAGAGAGAACGAGAGACAAAGAGAGAGAGAGAAAGAGAGAGAGAGAGAAAGAGAGAGCCAAGAGAGATCCCCTATAGAGAGCGAGATGAGACATGGAAGTGTATGTAGTAGAGGGTTAGACTATGAAGAACACAAATCATAAAAGTACATAGAACAGTCAATATGAATATATAGTATATGCGACGCCCTGTCTGGAACATCAAGAGTTAATAACAATCGAATGCAATGTAGAGATTACTAACGAGCGTACAAGGATTAGACTTAGTTGCTATGAGATACACACGAAAGTGATGCACCTTATTCGACGTCAGTGGCAGTCGTAGCCGCGGCAGAGTGTCTGTACATAGCACGGTCTGTCTTTGGGCAGTCACTATAGCGTCATGGCTGAGTCATAGAAGGTACATACGTCGTGGCAGTACAGAGAACCATGGTCTCGGACACTGAGCCTTGCTCCAGGCCTCTGTAAATGTCATCTGATATCGAATGACGACCTCAAAGATATAGCACTAGATTACAGGGAAGCGCTATTAGAGTGTCGTATGTCATATAGTAATACAGACAGCTATTTTCGCGACCATCGCGCAATTGAAACTTGAGACTATAATACGCCGGGGCCGACCCAGGCGATATGAAACTCACATCACGAGGTCAGTAGTATGGTCTGACGGCCCATTTCTATATGCGGATGATATGTGGTGTACATGTGCATGAGGCGTGGAGTCTTATCTGCTGTAAACTATATCCAAGGCCAAGTACAACTTGTAGTTGAATACTTTAGTAGCTATACATAAATTGCGAGCAAAATATAGAAATCAAGATACTTAGTATAACCACGATAATAGATATCAAATTGAATAGACAGTGATCGTGCACGGCTAGCATGGCACGTGTTATACATTGTTTTATATGCAGTGTAGTACTGAGGCTCTCTGCTGCTTGTGCAGTATACAGTGTTACTTATGAGTTGTGGAGTTTAAACTAGGAGATAGAACTCGGCCGTCTTCAGCTACCTGTTGCTTTGCTAGCGACTGTCATGCCATTGATCCAAAAAATGAGTAGGGTATATGCTGGAGTACATTCAGAAGCATCTAATCTTCTAGTACACCACACTACTTCACTACTCGGTATACGTAAGCTAAAAGAGTATTGAGGACACACATGTATTTGTAATATTCGGCAGGTTGGCAAAGTGAAGATAATCTAATCACAAATTTTGCACAAAGATAACTAAAACGTAATCAGATGAGAATAAGCCAATTTCGAAATATGACCTTCTTTAGTTGACACGCGAAGACAACGAGTGTGACAACCACAGACCTGTTTGTGAATCGTTCCACTGTATTAATAATATGTGATGGCACTAGCAACTCATGGAAATACCAAAAGCGTCAGTAACCTCTCTAACTGCAGCTGTATTAATTCTCGTGATGGAACACATTCTTGCTAATAGACAGTATATTCCTGCTAATTGACTACGAAAGATAACAAATACTCTGCTGCCCACAAACAAGAGAAATTCTCTGTCCCAATCACTGCCTAGCATGCCAAGAACAATCATATGATAATCTTCATCCTATACCACACAGTAGCGCGCTTAAATAAATAAGATGCAAAACAATATCTCCCAGAGATTTATTGATTATTCCAAGAATGAAGCTACCAGAAACTTGAAACACTCGAGTTATATTCTCAAAAAGGGGAAAATAATTCAATCGAGCGAAACACAAAATCTCGCCGCCGAGCTGGGCGAGGCTCGACAAAGCAGAGGTTGACTTGCTCTGAGCGTCGCTAAGACCTTCCCCGAGGAGAAAACGCGACAATGTTTGAGATAAAAATAACAAGGAAAACAAAGATTCTTTTAAGCGATACTAGTATCAACAATGACCCGGTGTTTGGACAGGGAAACCACTGCATCAGGTGTCAGGAGACCCTCCTAAAATCTCAACTTGCGAATACACTGATATGGTGCATAAGCAGATGCGAGTTTGTTGTCCACTCGTTGAACGTTTATTCTCGTAAATTGAGTAAACACTCGTCGCAGCGGACACGGAAGCTCACAACAAATATCACATTCGGACCCGTAATGGTTATTTGTAACTACTTCGGAGTTCGAACGGTTTACAGCGCCAACGAGTTGAGGATGTGTGCGAAGTCGTAGCACACGTCGAACAGCGCCATCAACTTATTGGCAAATATGAACGCGCATCCTCGAGGCACTAATCCTCGCGATCTCTATTTAGAACATGATACACTAATTGATGTCCTGAGGGCAAGACCAGGAATCCCACCACCTGATGGAAGTCCCTGATATGCACATGCTTGCTCGATTTTCTATGATCAATTGATAGTGCCCTAGAAAAGCTAGAGAAAACGACTACAGTTCACGAAGAAACATATAGACAATAACGTCCCAATACTCAAGAAAGAACATACGACACTGGACTGTTGAATGACGTTTGATCTTGTGTTGGGCGCTGAATCCTTAATATCGAGGCGAGCCCTCAAAGTTGCCTGTGCCTTATTTAGTCTTCAGTGCATCACAAGTATATCAAGTCATATGCTCACAGAATGAGATGAGTCCGTTCAAGATGGCAAAAAGTCAACGAATGTCTCGATGAATTCTGAAGTGATATCCGCAACAGTGGCATTAAGGTATCAGATTGTCTCAATGTTAGTCTCAGGGCATAAGCACAGCAAATAGCGATCGGAGACGTTATTGTAGGCTCTCAGTAGAGGCATAAGAGTATATCGAGCACTTGCTCCATATATCGCGTCAGTGGCCAAAAAGAAGGTAAAACGCTATGCTCCGTTTACGCTCAAGATGGCATAAGTAAAGCATGCCCTCATGTCTAGTCCCCGTCAGTAGACAGAGAAGGATATAGGTCATGTATCGATGAGTCTTCAGTGCATACAGTAAATACTGCGTCATGCACCTAGGTGCAATTAGTTCTTGCAGAAGGGACACATAAGAATATAGTACGGGTTAGAGCAGATCCGCCATTTTAGATATCACACTGTCCATAGAGATGATATTGTGCGAGTACCGATGTTAGATA